TTTCGTCGCGCCGTGATGACGTCACAGCGCGCTTTTGTCGAGCGCGATTTTGTCCTACGCGCTTTTGTGGTGGAACCCCCCCCCGCCCGCCCGCGCTCCTTACCCGGTTTTGATGAGTTCCACGCTTCCACGCATGCACAGGACGCATATAGCGCCTGCGCGATCCTCCAGGAGCAGCTGGAGCATCGCACAGACGCTAGTACACATGCGTGCGCCGCACGCGTGCACGAGGACGCCGCCGGCCCCATTCCAACTGAACCGGTTGGAACGGGCCGAGAAACCCACCCCTGATCAGTGGACTGAGATGGTCAGCCAGTTCCAGGCCACGATATAGTCCCACTAGAACGAGGCCCTCCTGCTCTTTGCCACCAGCAGCACTTCCCTTCAGCCTTCGCCCAAAGCCCCAAATTGGGAGGCCGAAGCAGACCCCAAGTCAGAATTTCTGCCCCCCCTCTGACCCGCACAAAAAGACCCCACAGGGGGAGACTCTTTGCAACAACACAAGTGTTCATTGCATGTATCCGGCCCAGGGGCCATAATTTGAGGATCCCTGATTTAGTGCAATATAAAAAATGCAAATAATTTTTCAAAAAGTTTTCGTGCACCACCAATTGGTGACGGCTGCCCGATACCGTTTCAGACAAGTGACTTTTCCTGTCTAATCTTAAAAACCTCCAGTTGTGAAGCACCCACAACTTCTGAAGGCAACCTGATTAATTGTCCTGGCAGTTAGGAAGTTTCTCCTTAATTTTCCAGGTTGCTTCTCTCCTTGATTAGTTTCCCTCCATTGTTTCTTGTCCTGCCGTGCTTTGGAAAATAAGTTCGAACCCACCCACCCCCTTCTCCCGCGTGTAGTACAACACATCTTCAGCGTGTAGTAGAAGACACTCCACCCCTCCCCGCCTTCTACTCCAGCCACCAATTCCAGCCACGTTTCACCCATCCAGTTCTGCGCATTCGGCCCGGACAGCGCGCCCTGATTGATTGATGACCCCGTGCGTCATGGGAACGTCGAACACGGATTGACACAAACACACGGCCCCGGAAAGCGTGACCTGCATCTTCTCCCCCTCCCCCCCTCTAATTCGAGAGTGAGGGAAGGGGGATTCCCGGCGCCTGGAATCCCAACTCTTTTGCGGAGGAGGCGGGTAGAGAGGAGAAGCTACCGGGAGCGCGGAAAAAGGGAAACGGGCGGCGATCGGGCCACGCCAGCTGCCAGCTGGGGAAGTTTCCAGCGGCCCAAACTCCTGCGGGCCGCCGTTCCGTCCTCAACTCTTTTTCTAGGAGAGACGCGGGACGCTTTCGGCCCTTTCTAGGCAGTCACCCTGGCGGCCCTTTTTGGGGAAGGCGCGCCCGCCTCCTCCCTTTCCTCCTCCTTCAAGCGCAGAGAGAGACCGCTCCGGAAAGTTCCGCTCGGGCTCCTTCTCCGCCCCCGGAGAGGCCTCGTCCGCCGCCCCGCTCGCTCGTCTCCGAAGGGGCGCCTCCGCTTTCCGGCTTCCGAGGAAACGTGGCGCGGGGAGCCCCGGCAGCTCCCGCGCGCAACGCGCCCGGCTTTCAGGCGCGCCTTGGCCAGCCCAAACTTCTCCTCAGCCCGCCGAGCTGCCTGCCTCCTCTCCAGCCCCGGCCGTTCCAGACGCAACTCCGAGCCAGGAGGGGGTCCCAACCAGGCGCAAACCCACCCCAGCCGGACTTCCACCCCAAAACCGGGCACTTGCCCGCCTCGCCCGCCCCGCGCGGAACTCACCGGCGCGCACGTGCCGTGGCGCTTCCCGGCCGCTGCCCGCCAGGCTCGCCTTCGCCCGGGAGGGACGTGGCAGAAACGAGCGGCTGCCACCGCGGCTCCTCCCCAGCCCCAGCTGCGAAACGCGGGAGACGCCTCCCGGCTTCGCTCGAAAGCCGCAGGCGGGACGCCCTCTGCCGAGCGAGGGCCGCCTTGAGCCGGCTTACCCCAGCGGAGGACGGGCGCCTTGGCTGGGTGGCCGGTCCTGGCGGCTGACTGGCTGGCTTTCCTGTGGTTCCACCCGCGGCGCGGCATCCTTTCCCGCCGCCTCCTTTTATTATTAATATTAGTATTATTAGTATTATTATTTCTTCTCCCGAGGAAGGTTTGGTTTTCGTTCAAAGGCACAGCCCGAGGGACGCGCGCGCGCGTGCTAGTTGGGTTCCGACGACACGCTCAACCCGGGTCAAGAAAACAAAACGGCTGCCTGGTCTCGCCAGCTCCAAAACGAGAATCCTCGTGCTGCGTTCGCCTCGTTTGGAGTGTGTGGTTGGCAGCCCAGCCTGGTTAGTGAACGGTTCAGACCGGGTTTTACACCTTTTGGGGTTTGCCAGCTGCTTGTAATTGGGGGGGGGGTGTCTCTGTTTATTATGAATATTAAGGTTGTAATGGCAGCGCTTTGCTTCTATTAGCAGCCGTGATGGTCCTGCTGGAATAAGAAAGTGAGATATTAAATGGGTGGGGGGGAAACAGCCCAGTCTGCCTCTCTCATTCTTTGGGTTTGTATATTCTTTTCCTCTGAGTTTTAACAGTTCAGAATAAAATACACCTGAGGACGTTAAAAAAAAAGACGGTCATTAAGTGAACTGTTGTAAGTCAAGGACTACCTGTACAATAAACTTTCAGTTGTGTCCATCCATTAGCAGTCTCTACAAGGATTCTTACAATCAAAATTTTGTTCAGAAGTATGGGGCAATGACAGGTGGCTCAGTGGCTAAGACGCTGAGCTTGGCGATCAGAAAGGTCCACGGTTTGAATCCCTAGCGCTGCGTAACGGAGTGAGCTCCTGTTACTTGTCCCAGCTTTTGCCAACCTGTCAGCATGTAAAAATGCAAGTAGAAAAATAGGGACCACCTTTGGCGGGAAGGTAACAGCGTTCCGTGCGCCTTTGGCGTTTAGTCATGCTGGCCACATGACCACGGAGACNGAAGGATTTATATTCCTTGCAGACAACTGGTCATTTGCATCCTTTTAGAGCAGCGTTTCTCAACCTTGACAGCTTAAAGATTTGTGGACTTCGATTCCCCAGAATTCCCCAGCCAGCTGGCTGGGGAATTCTGGGAATTGAAGTCCAAACATCAAATTGCCAAGGTTGAGAAATGCTGCTTTAGAGGGTCACTGAAGCACTTGGAGGTTTATCTGTGTTCTCAGGGTCACCTGAGTGGTGCTCCTGATTCCTGTAGTCTGCAATTTTTTCCCTTTGGAAATCCATTCCTAATCCCACACCATTCAAAGGGGGTTCATCCCCAATTGTCTAGTTAAACCCTTCCATCCCCCACTATCCTGTCAGAGCTGAAGAATCTTCTTGGATGAGAAGTGAAACGTCTTCACAGAAAAAACAAAAATTCCAGTTGCCTCCTGAAAAAGCACCTTTGAGACAACCATGTATTTTTACAATTCAATTCGGAATAGAGCTGGAAGGGACCTTAGAGGTCCTGTAGTCCAACCCCCTGCTGAATCAGGAGACCCTATACCAGGGATCACCAACCTTTTGGATCTCAGGGACCCCTAAATTCATAATTTTAAATCCCACAGACCACTAATATAATCTGCCTAGTGACTGGTTGGGTGGGTGTGGCTACGTGGTCATGTGATTGGGTGGACATGGCCAACTTGATGTCACTCACGTCAAGGGGCACCTCACCGGCCTCTACTCACCCCTCCCTTTCCACTTACTCCTCACCTGCCCGCCCGGATTCCTTAGGGTCCCAACAGGAAGCAGTTGCTGGAGCTAAGCAGCCACCATGAGAAAGAGTTGGCAAAACAGCTGGCTGTTTGAGAAGGAGGCTCAGCGGAAGCATCTCACTGAGCATCGGCTTTCCAAGCAGAGGGAAGACCTGCGGAAGTGCAAGGCCAGGTACTTGGAGGGTCAGTGGCAGGGGTGGGTTTCAACCGGTTCGCGGCGGTCCCTGCGAACCGGTTTGTCGGCGAACCCGGAAGTAACTTCCGGGAATGGCGAAGGGCCCATGCGCCCGCCCGCGCTCCTTACCCGGTTTTGACGAGTTCTGTGCTTCCACGCATGCACAGGACGCATATAGCGCCTGCGCGATCCTCCAGGAGCAGCTGGAGCATCGCACAGACGCTAGTACGCATGCATGCACCGTGCGTGCATGAGGACGCCGCTGGCCCCGTTCCAACCAAACCGGTTGGAACGGGGCCAGAAACCCACCCTTGATGAGAACCAAAACATCTTCCAAGAAAAAACAAAAAAAAGTCCATTTGCCTTTTGAAAAAAAGCACCTTTGGGATAAATATGGTTTAAAATGTAATTTTTCTGCTTGGGATGGAATGATATGGACGATATCTTCTCCGAGGCATTAGGAGAGAAAGCAAACTAGAGACAAAGAGAAAATGTATTTGGCTTCCAAAGAAAATGCTAAATGCTTTTTCGTGTCATCTTCAAATG